AAAACATGAATCCATGCTTAATGAAGGAGATCAACTCGAGCAAGGCATGTTACAGCACCACACAAGAGACTAACTAGAGGAAGAATGAAATATTAGATGAGATTGAATAGAAAGAATATAAGTGAAACAAATGACCCCAAAGAAGTGTGAACTTCACCAAACTACAAGTAAAAATCAAAATGCTACTGAAAAGATGCGACCCTACATCAGTGCCCAGCCCAATAAAAGGATAAAACAGTTTCTCTTAGATATAAATTTCCTTCTGATAGTCATTCTTTTAGATATAAATTTATAACATACTTCGAGGCAATAAACCAATTATACTCTAACCTTTCTTATACCTAGAAACATATGTTACCCATGAGCTCAAGCAACCAAGGGAAGCTTTATAAACCACACAAATTCCCACTTGAATTTAAATATAGCATGTTTACTCATTGTTTGCATGTGCATAATACACTGGTACTAGAGCAATGATAATAACATTATGAAGCAGAACACATACTAGAGATATGTGATCTTTTATCCACCTCAAACCCAAGTATTTTCACTGAAAAAAGAGCATATAGAGGAAAAGAAAAGGTAATCACGTTATACATTGGAAATTCAAGACTTGTAAACTTACATGAATCCATCCCAGAGGAAAAAGAGATAATTTTCTTGAACTTCAAAAATCTCTTCTTCGTTTAATGTTGAACACTGTATTAAAATACGAATCAGTGAGATAGAACTAAAGGACTAGGATAAAAGTATATAGCCAGAATAAACCTTGAAACTGTTAACTCTTTCTGCACAAAAGAATTAGATTAAAGGAATAGTATACCATACCGAATCTGAAGTTGACTCCTGCTTTGGAATTATAAGAGTAGTAATGTGGAAAACCCTGTTTCTCTACAGCCACAAAAGTTAAAAGTATAAAAAACCTCTTGCAGCAACTTTGAATCCCCTACTTCCTAATCATCTTAAACAAAAAACTTATCAACTTCAAAAAATATAGTTTTCTCACCAATGATCCAGCTAAAACACCACATGTTTCCAAATTCTTTTCTGTATTTGCCCGAGCCAATCGCAAGAAATCCTCCATCATTTGTACTGGCTGAATATTAAGTCAACAAAAGTGGAACATTAACCAAAATAGAAGGCCCAAATCTGATAGCTCCACCAAGAAACAGATAAGAAGAATGATTGATATAGGAGACATACAACATGTAAATGTTGATATGAGCTAGAGTTTGGCAATCCATCTTGAGAAGACTTTGCAGGACCAGGTCTTGGATCAGCAACTTTTGATGGATGAATTGGTGTAAATTGCGGCAGTACTTGAGCAAGCACAGGAGGAGGAGAAGGTTGTTTCATACCAACAAACTTGAAAGGATCCTCTGTTGCTTCAATAGTCAAAGAAGGACATGCCTCTTCTGCAGGATGTAACCATAGACCATCATCTAACGAGAGTACCGAGTCTATAGCAGAACCAACCCCTCCTGGTTCACCATCTTTTACAACCAAAGGTCCATGCTGCACAGCCTGATTCAGGCTGTATAGAATTGTAACACAAAATAGAAATATGTTAAAGCCGCAGCATTGTAGCAACACAAACTAGAACACTCAGTAGATATTTCAAATTTTTAATATTTACATAATATCTAAGGTGAACGGATATGATAAGGGTAGAAAGATATGCGTAAGCTTAAAGAAAAATGATTGAACATTTTGGAAGTCCTACCCTGAATTTTCAGCAGACGCCAAGTCCTTATGGCTTGGATATTGAACCTGAGTTATAAAGCAGAATTAAATTTTGATGCAGATTTTGCAGTTTGAATGCAAAAAGAGATTATGCACGAGTACATAAAGAAGCTTGGAGGGAGATAAAGCAGATAGAGATTAACCTTTATCTCTGCATTTGGTCCGAGCCACTGACCACGAAGGCCGTTAGGGCCTAGAAATGAGTGTCTAGACAGTGTTTCTTTATTGGGAAGAGGTATATTAAGAGACCTGAAACAACCCAGGAAGATTGATACATGCCATGTCAGCCTCAAAGAAAAAGTTTTGAACTAATTCTTATTAATACAACCTTCTAATAAGGTCCTAGATGGACAAACACAAACAAATATGACACTGAGCAAAGCAAAGGCCAAAAGAAATCAGGGTGACGCTCTTAAGCAGAAGTAACACACAAGTGAATTTTATGCATGGCCATGCTTTTAACATCAATTAATTCCATTCCTTAGAGACCAGCTAATAGTACAGAGTTGAATTTTATTGGATCCCACCAATACAACTGTGAATTTTTACTGAATTTTAATGGATCCCACCAATACAACAGCGGATTTCACTTTGGAAAGATAGGTTTCAAGACCCAAATCACAAATGTACCATTAACAATAACAAAAGAAACTAAGAAACTCACAACTTCTGGAACTGCCAGTCAATCTGATTATGATTACTGTTATACTTCCAGGAAGGTTGAACTGCCACGCTGGCAGGCTGCATCCATATAAAAGGGAAAAGTGAGATAAAATATTGGATTTTTATTAAAAAAGCAAGCAAACAATAAGAAAAAAAATGGGCAACCATAGATATAGAAACATGGAAAGGAGATATTAATAATTACATAATTCAATCACATTGCATCCACCAATTATGAATGATTCCGTACCTGCTTAATATCCAAGCTCATATTAGATCCTTTATTTACAGGGGTCCAATCCAAAGAAGACATCGTAGCTGAGCCATAGAAAGAGCCTTCCTGGTCATCAAGGTCAACCAATCTTGCCCCTGACCGAGTTTTGTTTAGTTCTTCAACTCTCCTTTGCACGTCTGGTTTCAAAGATTCAAGCTCATCAAGTACAGCTAAAAGTCTCTGCAAATGAGAAACAATAGAAGCAAAACATCATCAAATACCATATGAATGGACTCACAGAGCGCCCAGAAAACAATTAAACCTCACCTTCCTAGAAACAGCCTTTTCTTTCGGAAGCAAAACCTGGTAATCTCGATGGTATGGTATTGTTTCTGACACCAAACTGATCAAAATGTAATTTCATAAATAAGCTTACATAGATTAATTTAGCATGACGAACTCAATCTGTAGTAAGCCCCCCTCACCTTGAATATCTAAGTAGAATTATGTACAAATCCACTATATTTTTTTCCTCTCTATAAATTTCTGCCTGAAAAGTAAAATAAAAAATGCATTAAGCACCTGTAATCACACCTAAATTTCTAGCTAGCAGAAAGATTAGCGTCGTCCTTAAATCAGTAACATTTTTTAAATATGACGATAATTTAATTTAGGTTAAATGAGCTAGTTGAAGTACTAAAAACAATGAAGTCATTAGCAACTACTAGCTTAACAGAAATAGACTAAGAATTCGCAAGAAATGCTACAAACGAAGCTACTTAGAACTTAAATCACTAACATTTTCAAATAGAACGCAAATTCATTAGGATGAATAGGAAATTTAAGTATTAAAACTAGGGAACCATTAGCAATTAAAACTTAGAAAAATAAAATAAAAGAATGATTCAAACTGAGATTAAGATAAAATCAAACCTTAAACGATTCATAACATCGTCATTATTAAGAAAAGATTACGATTAGGCAAAGATTTAGCATAGAAAACCTGTTTGAGGAGACTATCGGCGATTCGGTAATAATAACGGAGAGGAATTCGAATATCAACTTCTACTCTACGAGCCATCGCATTCACGTCGATCTTCATCTTCTTCCTCGATTTACAATAATTCTTCTCCCTTCGCCGATGAATTGATTTTCTATCTCTGTCCGATCGGAGATCAAATAGTTCGAGCGTGCGAACTAAGAAATTTGGAAAAACAAAGGATACTCTGTCGTTCCCGAAGAATGGAGCTTTCTTTGATTTTATCTCGACATGGTGAGTAAAGGTAAAGCTTTTATTCTGTACGCCCGTTACTATGACTAGAGAGTTTCCTATCCAGGAAAGCCAATCAGTTGAGGGCATTCCATGCCATATTAAGCAATGCTTTAGTTTTTAAATAGTTTTGGTATAATCTTGATATTATTCCCTCTACTATGCTACAAATATGAAATAATTCCTATCCTTTAGCTTGGTATAATTAAGTCCTCTATTTTTATAAGGGTAATTATATTTTCGTAACTGAATTTTACTTCAAAGTTCAATTTGGTAGCTAAATTTTTTTTGGTCCAATTAGATATATGAATTTGACTTTTTAGTTTAAATTGGTACCTAAACTTGTATTATGATTTAAAGTGGTTGAAATAAATCAATTATAATAAGTATTAATTTTGATCAAGAAGTCAAGTTCAAGTACCTTATTATATGAAAAAAATGTAAGATACCAATTGAAATGTGAAGCCAAATTAAAGTACAAAAATATATCCTTTTTATAATGTTATTAGTAGTATAATTAATAGCATTATTAATCATTGATGATAGAATGTTATTAATTTAAATTACTAATAAAATTTAAAAAAAAATGTGAAATGTTGATCATTTCTCTCGTATCTTCGACCACCCTCCCTAGTTGTTGATCATTTCACTCATTAATATGAAATTGTCAAGTCAAAAATATGTGAATATAAACATAGATCAAGGAGAGACTCTATAATAAGTCTTTACAAAATTTGATTTCAATTAGTCAATCAATAAATTAGATACCATTAATTAATTTTAAAAAAAGAAGAGAAACACAATCAAAACTCGCCAATAATCATTTCGGTGGTTGATTATTAATTGGCATACAATATGATAGATATAATAATTTTAAAATAAAGTTTTGAATGCATCACAGTAAAGTAATGAATTAACAAAATTGATATATGAAATGCTAAAATGTTGGACTTTTGGTAATGTTTTTTTGGGACCAAAAGCATAGCATTGCTTGTATATGAGCAGACTAAAAACATACAACAATCTCTATGAATGCAATTTCATCACAGAACATGTAGTCCTATGGTTTACTCATACAAGGAAAAGCAACCACATTAGAACTTGAGCCTATCAGAATTGAGAATGAAATGACGTTAGCAGTGCAGCATAGAGAAGTTCATTCCAAAAGTCTGGAACACCAGGGAGACACCAATGACTGCAATCCTGGAACATGGTCGGAGTCCTTGGGATCTCTAGCGGCCTATAAATCGAAGGATGGCCGTCTTTTCTGTAAGCCGTCATCTTGGTGATGTTGAGATAAAATACCGGTGTTTTCATTTCCGATATTACGGATTCCAGGATGCTCATCATCCATGGATATGGTGCAAGGCTTGTCTCATTTGATATTGGCTCTGTTTCACCATGGCAGTTCCCGCCCGTATCCCACTGCCCTTTCCTGAAAATAAAAATTGACATATCCGTATCGACACTCACATGAAAGTCCAAGTTAACATAGGTTCGAACTATAGCCATATTATTTTTACCTGAAATGAGAAGAGGAGTATCCTGCAAAGAAGACCCTGGTGTGTTTTCTATCAATGTTGGTATCAACCCATTGTGCCCATGTTCTCAATGCCTTTGTAAATGCTTCTTTTACTTCCAATCTGTCATAGACATGGCTGCCCTCCTGGAAGTAATTTTTGCTGCAAATTGAAAACACCATTCGTTCATGGGAAAGTTTGTGGTAAATTTCAGAAACTGATGGGAAAACAAGTAAAAAAAATGGCAGCAGATTCTTTACCCTTTGCCAGTTTTTTGGTGAGTCCACCAATGGCCAGTGTTGAATACTATTATATCGGCATCACTGTACTTGGAACCCTGAATCATGTCAAGCCTCAGTGTTTCTCTTCTGATCTCACTGTTATCGAAGATTTTCCATTCTTGGACTAGGAATGGTGATTTGATGAAGTCTATTGTGCACTGGTAATCCTATAAATCATTTCACCAGACAACGACCTCGTTTATATCTAAACACGTTATTCGGATTCAAATATGAGTTTCGGATATCTGAGCATGTTACTCAAATTCAAGTATGACTTTCGGATATCTAAACACGTTACTCGGATTCAAGTATGAGTTTCGAATATCTAAAATGTTCATAAAACCAGGAAAAACTAACAAAAAGTTTGATGGATTTTTGACTCACTGAGAATCTGAGAGAAAAGAACCCCTGAGTCCGGAACTCGTTCCTGCTGGAAACTTCAAAGAGTCGTCTCTTATCTCTCAACGATTCTCTCAACGAGCACACCAGTGATTCCCACATGTTCCTATTCAAAGAATCTCCCACGAAAACCAGCCTCTTCCCCCTCAACATCTCCAGCATTTTCCTCCCATTGAACCTATATGCACATTTCGACAACCATGTAAAAGACAAAGTAAACCAAGTGGTGTAAAACGATTTTCAACTACTTTTTCTATAAAATCTTGACCTCGGAATCTGACAATCGAAAGGCTTCCACCGGTATCTAACGTAACTGAAATCGACCCGGCCGTTCTTGAAGCAGTTAAAGGAATCATCGACGTAAGGGCAAGACCCAGGAATATAAGCAGGGGTGGAATCGTCCAAGACCCAGTTTCCATTAAAGATGTCGCAAGAACTAAGGTCTTTGATCACGTTGTTGGTTCTTTCGACGGCGGTGACCGAGGAGAGAGTGCAGTTGGTTCTGACGTCCGAGACGATGCAGGTGTTGGAAGAGGAAATGGAGGTGAAGGATGCGAGGTAGTTAGCGGCAAATCGAAGGCGGGTAGCCAAGGCCAAAGCTAACGGGGAACGCTGGTTGAAGGAAGTTAAGAAGAAGAAGAAGAGTGACAGGAGGAGCAAGAAGATGTAGAAAATGTGGGTTCTGGATCGCCATAGAAGACATGGGGTTGTTCTCGAGAAATGCTTAAAATTGGAGATCGACGCCATTAAAGGGTGGGATTAAAGAGAAAGAGGTTTATTAATGGGAAAAAGAAAAGATCATTGGGGAGGGAATGGTGGTCTTTAAGTTGGGCTAATTACCATATTCATATATGAATTATACCCGATTATTAATTTTATACATAAAACTTAAAAATTCTTGATTAATTACATAATGTTTTCAGTCATCAATGGGTATACTCATTTCCGTCTCGGAAGATGACGTGAAACCCTCTAACCTATAACAAATTGACATGTGTCACTTAAAAAAACATGTTTTTATTTTTTAGGTAAATTATATCATTTATCATTAAACTATCTTTTCACTCTTATTTTAATCACTAAAGTTTAATTCTTTTTAATTTAATTTTTAAACTATAGAAGAACCCAATATTGATCGAAACGAGCTTATCTTGTTTGATAGCAATCACAATTCCAAAACGCATACAAATCAAACTAATCCAACACCGAACAATCCCAGAGCTAAATAACCTTTTATCCCAACCAAGCACCATCATTTTGATAACCCAGAAGTCACTGAAGCTATTGGAATCGTTATTGACATGCAAAAAAGAAAGAGTGGAGATATGACAGGATTCAGTGTTGTTAATGGGTTCAATCTCCTACATTTCCTTAATCTCTCATCCACGCATGAATCTCTCCACCTCACCAAGCAAGCACACACTCAAATCATCTTACACGTGTTCACTCAAAACCCTTTTACAACATCAAAGCTCCTCTCTTTATGCACCTATTTTTGGCACTTAACCGAATTAAAAACCGTTTTCGTTTCGATCAAGGAAAAGAATGTTTATCTTTAGAACTCGATGATTAATGGGTATCTCAAAACTTACTCATACGTTGAAGCTTTTGATTTGTTCCGTGAAATGGGTCGTTTTAGTGTGAAGTCTAATGGTTTTACATTGGCAATGGTTTCGAAAGTTGCTGGGGAAATCAGGGACTTGGTAGCGGGTAAATTGGTTCATTGCCATGGTATAAAAATTGGGTTCGTTGTGGATATTGTTGTTTCGAATTCTTTGATTTCGATGTACGAGAAATGTGGAGAGTTTGAGGCGATGAAGAAAGTGTTCGACGAAATGTGTGAGAGAAATGTGGGGTCTTAGAATGCATTGGTTTCAGGTTATTCGAATTCAGGGGATTGGAGATTGATGATCAAGTTGTTGTTGCTGATGCAGAGCAATTGCTTGTCGGTGGTTAGGCAAATGTCGACCGATTTACTCAAGGTTTTTCGGGTTAATTTGAAGCATTTTTATCGAGTTATGATACTAAGACCACCCATATTATGTCGTTTTGAAAATTTTTCCTGGGAAGAAGGAAAACCCAGGTTTGTAAATCAAAGGAAAACTTTTCATACCAAAATTTTGTGTTCATTGTTACTCTTGAAATCAATTGGTTTGAAATTATGATAAGCAGAAAATTGATTTGATGTTAAACCGGAAAAAGGACAAAGCAGTGGCTCATTTAATTTAGGGTTAGGATTTAAGGGGGTTTTTTGTAAAGAAGAAGAGTCTACAACCCATTTGGGGAATTTTCAAACTCTAGTTATATATTACAGCAAATACATTAAAATAAAAAGTTATTTAAACTTTGAGTTATTAAAATATTAATAAAATAAATTTTAGTTAATAATAGATGTCATGTCATTAAAAATTAATAAAATAAATTTGAGTTATTAAAATAAGAGTATTTTTATAGTTTAATAATTAAATTAAAAAATTAAACTTTATTGACTAAATTAAAAGTGAGAAGATAGTTGAGTGATGAAAATCCGTTAACGGCAAAAATATCATGTATAAAATCGAAAATTTTTAAACATTACGTATGAAATTGAGAATTGGGTATAGTTAATGTATGAATGGGGTAATTAACCCTTTTAATTTTGAAAAACCCTAGGCTGCATTCTTAGAATCTCAAGCACGAAATTCTTTTCATTGTTGACTTCAGAATCAGTACAGGTTTGCTTGCCACAGATTCCAGGTTTATTGTTCAAGCCAACATGCCAAGGGTAGGCCTTCTTTATTATGGTAATTCCTAACTTCATTTAAAGATCACTGTTACTGATAATAGTTTACAAGAAAAAGGATCTAACTATGATGTTAGTCCTTTTATCATGCTGAACTTTGAGTTTTGTCCATCTATTTTAAAAATAATTAATCTTGAATTTGATAAACAAATTTTAATTTGGTTTCTGATTTTTTTTTGTCTAGGTTAGTCTATCAATTTATTTTTTTTAGTTATTTTTAATCATTTTGATAATGTGACATTTAGGGACGGATCTATGATTTAATGTTAAAAGGTGAATTTTTAAAATTTTAAGAGATGATGGACTTATAAAATTATAAAAAACAAAAACAGATTGTATATAAAAATATTAAAAATATATCTTAAATATGCGTTAATTTTATTTTTTTAAAGGAATTATCCCCGTTCGGTACATCCTCTTATGACATTTTAAACATGTGTCTATAACATAATAACAAATAATAGAAATGAAAAAAGTTGTCAGATTTAATAACTAATGCGAATAAAAAAAATTAAAGATCAAATTGAAAAACTAGACAAGATCAATGACTAAAAGTTGTGTTTAGGGATAATGTAGATTATTGATATTCGGATACAAATGGGGATTAACGAGTTAAGTCGAGTTTGAGTATTGTTGAGTTCAACACGATCAAAAACTTTAAAATTGAATTTGACTCGACTCGAAATTTTTAAAATGGAGCTCAACTCAGCTAGAAAATTAGCGAACCTAAATTTTTCAAGCTCAACTCGAACTCAAAACTATGAATTGAAGCTCGAAAAAGTTCGAAATAAAAAAAAATCTTAGACTTAACTCGACTAAAGCTCAAACTCGAACTTAAACCTTAAGTACATGAAAATTTTATACTGTATTTTTTTTAAAAGAACCAACGCATAAATGTTAATATTATTAGTAACTTAATTTTTTTTAAATGAAATTTGAATATATTATTTTTTGAGTTGCTCGCGAGCTTTTCGAGTTGAGTATCAAGTAGTTCGTTTCGGCTTGTTAAAAACACGACTCAAGCTCGAGTCTGAATCGAGACAATTCGAATAGAGTATATATCGAACTTTAATCAAGTCGATCTCGAATATTTCACAATCTTTCTCATCTCATTTACAACTTTAGTTACAAAACTAGTGAAAATATAATTATTCATGTTAGAATAATAATAAATTTAAAGGTAAAACATATATAAATGATTACTAAATTATAGGGTAAAGTATACAAATGATACATCGATTATAGGACATTGTTTTATTGAGTCTCTTGATTATTAAAAGTTATAAAATAGTCCCTCATCTATAGGCTATTATTTTGTTGAGTTTCCTGACTACTAAAAGTTATAATTTGGTCACTTGACTATTCAAAAATTCAAAACTCATCATTTTCAGTTAAAAAATTCACGGTCGTCTGAGCTATATGTTAACATGTATATTGAGATATGATAAAATCATATTTTAATGATGTCTACTAGTATTGTCGTTGCTTTTAAGTATTGACTCGATAACATAATATTTCAAACATTGGCTCGACATATAATGTAAACAAAGAACTAATCTACAAAATACATATCAAATGATTCTAAGATCAAATTTTATCACATCGCAATCAACAAATTTACTTATAAATTAAATAACATTATATATATAAATCTATATAATTTATATATAGGTAAACTATGCAAATAGTCCCTTATGTTTTTGGTTTGACTGACTTCTATCACCAATTTAAAAATTAAGAGAAAATGGTACTTAACGTTACCGATCTGTTTGATTTAGTTCTTAATGTTATCGATCCGGTCGATTTTAGTTTATCACCCATTAACTCCTGTTCAATTTTAGTCCCTCAACCAAGTTAGGGACTTGAACAAAAGGGACTTGAACAAAAGGTGGTTAACAGAATATAATAGCAGAGGAATTTAAATCGAACGGGCCAATAATGTGAGAGACTATTTACCCTTAATTTTTTAAATTGGTGACCAAATTCGGTTAGACCCTAAAGAAAAGGGACTATTCTTATAGTTTACCCTTTATATATCAATCGAATTCAAATTCAACTAGTATGGTGCTTTTAACTATCGAGGGTCGAAAATTTAAATCAAACTTTGAGCTGAAAATACCGATTTAACCCGACTGGGCCAATTAGTGGACCAACGTAGAATTAAAACAAAAAATGTTATTTTAATATAAAAGCCCTAAGGATACTCATCTTCTCCAAGTCTGATATTTTGGCGTCTGAACTCCGAGTTGAACTCATAAGGGGGAAATAACAGCCAGATTAAATATACTTCTGCAACTATAATTACATCAGGCCAAGTAATTTATTGATGAGATTTTTTTATTTGAAAAAAATTATCTTATTCTTAAACTTTTATCTTTATCTAAGCTATATATTTTTTGTTTAATTTTCTGGTATTCAGGATTGTTCTTCGATTCGTGGTGCATCGATAAGTTAAGAATAAATGGAGGATTGGGGTATTTTTTCCCCCTCTATTTTGATTTCTTCTTTATTGTTCCAGCGAGGCTTTGATTGACATCCAATGTTCAGTTTCTTTTGTCTGTTTGTTTATGTAAGAACTTGCATATGGAGACTTTATATTGATTAGATTTCAAAACTAATTTGGGTTTTTATTTTTTTTGGCTTCTAAAACTAAATTGAGTTTTTTCAAAGCTGACCGCTTTGAGTATGGGTTTTTGAGGGAATCGGTTATGGTGTTGCTTTGGCGGGAAGGATTAGATTGCAGAGAAAATTGAGTTGACTTCCTTTGTTCTTTTTGAAAGAAAAAGAAGTCTTTGTAACGGAAGATTAATGAATCTGGCTGGAAAGATGGACAAGACTTCAATTTTAGGGATTCACAAGTGGTTGAATTAAGATCGAGCTATTTGCTTACGGTTGCCCCATTCTTATCTAGGAGGTGTAAACTGTAAAGGGTTCCACATTACCTTTAAACAACTTCAATTTAATGTTCTTTTAGTATGCAAGTTGTTAATTAGTAGTAGAACTATGATATATTTTAATAATTTCAGATCCTTCATTAAAGAACCTATCACTGTGCCCCCCTCCCTTTTTTATACGCTGCTTGTTCTCTTTTAATCCCCCCCACTCATGAATGCCATTGTTGCAGAGGATGAGATTCCACCTATCCCTACAAAGGCGCTGCCTAAAAGCAAATGGGATGATGAAGATGTTGATGATACTGATATCAAGGATTCATGGGAGGATGAAGAAGAACCTCCTCCGCTTCAGGTATGCCGACTTCCTTATTACTTGGTATTAGTTCAGTTCAATAGCATTTTACACCAGGGCTCTTTTCTTGATATTGTTAGTTATGTTGTCCTAAAATCTACATGATAAAATATGTGCAAAATTACTATCTGTAACAAGTTTCTACCCTAGACATTGGCTAGAAGATCTGGTTACAACTTACAAGTGTCAATTGTTTGTGTATTGGTCTGCTAGTGTAATGTTGGAAGTTATAAGCTCTTTCCGATTACAAATATATTATAAATTTGGTTTTTATGAATGGGTAAATATTAGGGTCATTTCTATAGTAGTATTTGGCCTTGAATTATCAACCCAATTTGAATATTGGATTTGGTGCAAATTTTAGTAAGATGAACATCATTTCTTGATCCCATAAGAGTTTCTTCTCATGGCTCATTATTGTCTAGCCTGCATCAGTTAAGCCTGATTGATGATTTAGAGTGATGGGACTCATCACATTGTGAACTTGGATCCTTGAATTGCTTTATGATGTTTCTGTTTCATTCCGTAGGAAGGATGTTATTCTAGCTAGATTGAAATAATTACATAAATAAAGTTTAGATCCTTCTCACCCAAGTCTTGATCAACATAAGTGAATCTTTCTGCGATAACAGTGTGTTGTGGATGTCGAACTCTTAGGAGAAGTTAGGTAGGACTCTTATGTTGAAAGAAGTTGTGTTTGATGGGACTTTATTTAATTTATGTAATCTGTATTTTAAGGGATCTAGGGAATAATAAAACCCAAGTAGAGTTTACATAAGAAACCCTAAGATATATAGGTCTCTTTCTAATGCCCTAAGGTTTCAATCTCCTTTTGGCAAGCTGAGCAATCAATCACAATAGGTTGTTCCACGAACTGAGATAAAAGGGAAGGTAATTGATTTTGATTTCCCCCTCAAGGCATCAATCACCCTTGACACTATTCATAACAGAGTGGCTGTAGTTGGAACGAGTAGCCCCTTATCCTAAACAAGAAAGCACATTACAGCCTACAGTTACAAGCTAATCTTCGTTTAATCTCTGAACTGTCAAATATGTCATCATTCAGGCAGAAAATAATTTAGTCTATCAATCTGTAGAGAAATAGTAGCTCTAGGCAGTAGGCAGTTGAATATTCAAGTATTGTGTGAGTAGTGTTTATGTTTTGTTTGGCACTGGCAATACAAGTAGTTCTGACTTCTGTTTACACGGCTCTTGGTGCACTCGATCAGTCCAGGAAGAGCATATCACTAATTAGCGAAACTAGGCCATCTGCTCAATTGACAGAGGGTGATGGTCGTCAATTTTCAATTTTATTTCTTGTCGGTTTCACCGGTAACAAATTTCTTTTATTATTCTGAATCGGTAAGAAAGGAAGGGTGTTATTTCCTGATTCACTTCAAAACAGTAAAACAAAACCGAAAAACTCGAAGGATACTGCCCACAATGCTTATGATTTGGAGCCAGCATAAAGTAGTTAGGGGTATTTCCTAGGGATATTAGTCTGATGAATATCTGTACTTTTGAGCACTTGCACATAAATTTCTGGAGACATTTTGAATGTCACATTCGACATGGTTATCACCTTTCCCACTGAATAAACTAATAGAAAAAAGTTTAAAATGCATTATCGTGAACATAGATTGTACAGTCACGTTCTCACGGAAGACTTCCGTTTTGTTTTCATTAGCAAAAATTTGTCTATGTACCAAAGTTGTTACGTAGCACTTTTCCATGTTTATTCCATGCAAAGAAAGTTATTGGTGACAAGGTATTTGTGTTATATATCTGATAATAGAGAAAAACTGTTTGCCTATGTTGATGTGTTGTTTCCTTAATTGTTATCAGCAACCTGTAGCAAAAGCTCCTGAAGAGAAAGCTCCCAAGAAACCTGCAGTGAAAGCTACTGAAAAGAAAGGGAAAGCTGTTGAAGTTGCTAAAGAAGAATCCCTTGATCCTGTTGCCGAGAAACTTCGCCAACAAAGGTAGAACCTAGTATATTAGCTTCTAGAGCAATGGCGCTGAGAATCTTCCTCGGTTATTCAAAGTGGGTGTTACTGCATTTAGGCATGCTAGATCTAAGCTCATCTAAGTTGAGAACTAATTCTTTGTAGGTCCTCTAAGCAACATTTTTTTCTTCTTGCCCATCTGCATACTTGGAATCTCAGGATTTTTTAGGCTTTCCATGCTTTTACATTCCTCCAAAATTGACCTGTTTGTAATATTTGATGATTTATTTGGGCATTTGCTCTATTATAGGCTTGTTGAAGAAGCTGATTACAAGTCAACCACTGAACTTTTTGCCAAGAAAGGTGATGACAAGACTCTTGATAATTTTATTCCCAAATCTGAAAGTGACTTTTTGGAATATGCGGAGCTTATTTCTCATAAGCTACGCCCATATGAGGTGAGTTTAATCATCTTTCTTTTGGAGTCTTGGTTCTATATTGAGAAAGTTCTTAAGTTGCCCAATTTTATACTTTGATGCAGAAAAGTTACCATTATATTGCACTACTAAAGGCGGTGATAAGACTATCAGTGACTTCCTTGAAAGCAGCTGATACTAAAGATATAGCATCTTCAATCACTGCAATTGCAAATGAAAAATTAAAAGCAGAGAAAGAAGCCACAAGTAAAAAGAAGACAGGTAAAATACATGCAGTTATTTCCTTTTTCATTCTTGTGCACCATGGTAATATTCCTCAGCCAGAAAGGAAAACAGAAATATCTACGGGATCAAATTTTCTCTTCATTGATAATTTTAAATCAATAGTGGGAAGAAAATGACATACTTTTTAATACAATTTATTATATTCTCTTCAAAGCTAATCACCTTTGGCAGGTAAAAATCTTCTAGAAATGGGTAAAGTCTTTAAAGCTGGATTCCATTGGCCTCGTGGAGGGTGGTTCCTCGTATTAACCTTGTTTTACAGTATTTTTTTTTTCTGTTTCTTTTTCTTTTGTATCTGCAATAATTGCAGGCTTTAATTAGAAGGGAGATTAATAGCATATAGCTCTCATCTTTAGTTTTTACTGCTGTTTCAGCATTTACTTACTGGTCAGCCAACCTTTCATACTCTTAACTGCAATTTTCTAACTGCTTTTCGGACATTTTCTAGGTGGCAAGAAAAAGCAGCTTCATGTTGATAAACCAGATGACGATTTGGTTGTTAACGCTTATGATGATGTAGACGACTATGACTTTATGTGATCCATTTGGAGCTTATACCACCATGTTGTAGTGTTTGCATAGGGATCTCGTGTTTACTGCAGCAGCAAATGTAGAGGATGATCCAACGGCTCTTTTCTTTTTTGGGTTTCTGATTCTTGGAGAAATTTACACGTCTTATGAACGCTTCCATAATGTGAAATATTGGAACTATTAGATTAAAACTTAAGAAGGAAAGTCTTGTCTTATGGTTTTGGTGTTCTATTACCTTAAAATTCATACGATGTTCTTGCACAAGGCTGTTGTAAGAATATACAATAATACTATTTGTTTGTGCATTATGAGAACTATGCGTTTCACATGATTCCTATAAGATTGAATAAACAATATTGAGGGTCAGCTCTCACTGCCAAATGAAAAGAGGGCATTGAGAAGGCAGATCATTGCCGTCTATTATGAAATTTAACAAGCCATTGTTGGCTTAAAAATAGTATAACAAATTATATGAAAAATGTTGAATCCAAAAGCAAAATACAGGCCATTGAATAACCAAGTTGAAAATATGAGGGAATGTTGAAATCACCAAATGAGGATGGATGAAGCAGACAAAGTATTGTCTAAATATAATAGCAAATTAATAAGGAATTCATGGTTCCTAAGCATAGGACTGGTATATACTCTTAAACATGATATATGTATAATTGTTTCGGGTCATTGATTCTACTTTTTAGCATTTTGCATTTGTAGCAAATGAGAGTATAATGAAGAAGATATCCATAATTTCGTAATTAAAAATAAGGGTTAGCTATGTATTTAATCACGTCAATTGTTTTGTTTATTTTTAGGGTGAATCTCGTATTTAGTCACCTAATTATTCCCGCGATTTCGATTTGGTCATCCAATTTTTTTTTTTTTAAATCATACCTAAAGTTACATTTTGGTGGTTTTGTTTTGGTCACATGTCATTAAAAATAATAATAATGATGCTGACATGTCGTCATTGAAAAAATTACTACGTCAACAGTTATGTTTATGTTTTAACGTCGGGTGACCAAAATGGAACAAAAACGTAACTTTAAGTATGATTTTGAAATTAGATGACTAAAACGAAACTGTGGAAATAGTTGGATAACTAAATGCATAGTTTACCCTATTTTTAATTACGGATGATCAAAACGGAACAAAAACGTAAGTTTAGGCATGATTTTGAAGAAAAATAATTGAGTAATCAAAACAGAACCACAAGAATAGTTGGATGACTAAATATGTAGTTTACCCTAAAAATAATTTCTTGATGCTTAAGTTGGTTCATAATCTCATGTCCTTGGAAACTCCACAATGAAAATGACTAAAAAAACAATTTCAAGGCTAAAGCATCATTGAACTTCAACCTATATAACCAACCCCTCCTTGAACAAGAGCTAATCACCATTACAAATTCCACTAAACTAAGCTCAAAACAGAGCCTCGGCCATCTCCGTTTTTCTGATATATATAGACATACAATGGGTGTCACCAGTTACAGTGATGAATACACTTCCACAATCCCTCCGGTCAGGCTTTTCAAAGCCTTGATTGTTGACTCGCACAATCTTATCCCGAAACTCATGCCATTGGCTATTAAAAGCATCGAAATTACCGGTGATGGGGGAGCCGGCAGCATCAGGCAGATTAACTTTGCTGAAGGTGAAATAAACTAAAGTTGCTATCAATATTCATCCGATACTTTCTGGTTTGTTTAACCAATGTCTATATACACTGATCAAGGATAATTATGCAGGTAGCCAAGTCAAGCACATCAAGAACCGGATCGACGAGCTGGACGACGAGAATTTTTCATTCAAGTATAGTTTGATTGAAGGTGATGGAATGATGGACAAGCTTGAAAAGATTACATATGAAGTTAAATTTGAGAGCACGGCAGATGGTGGGAGCAAAAACAAGATGACAAGCACGTACTACAGCAAGGGCGATTTGGAGCTAACCGAAGAGGAAGTTAAGGCTGGCAAAGAGAAGGCCTTGGCTATGTATAAAGTTGTGGAAGGCTATCTTCTTGAGAACCCTGATGCTTATGCTTCTTAATTTAAGTCTGGTTTGATGTTTCGTTGTGTTAAAAGACAGTAGCTTTAAGCATGGGTGTGGGTGTCAGTGTCATTGCCTTAATCAGGATTGCAATCCATTAGTTATGTGTTTTCTTCCTTTAATGTATTATCTGATATGGTATTCATGGAAATTATTTGCTTATGGTTTGGTATTGGAATTTGAAAAATGGCTTCTGGTGCATTTAAATATATGAAGGTTGGCTAAAAATAGATAACACTAGCAAAAATAGCAAACCATTAATGATTATGAATGTGACACAAAACCTCCCCAATTATGCTCCAATGGAGGTGGCCGATGAGATCCATCTTCCGGCCACCGGAGGAGATGGATTACTTGGAAACATGTATAAAAAAGATCAAAGCCATCATGATTACGAGAGGTAATACCAAGGACACAACAGTTCTTTCTTACCGAGACTCTCTTAAAACCATCTATCTCCGATGATTCCTTTCAAGGGTCAATAGCAGTGGAAGATGAGCCTGAATCAGGTTAGAACCAGAGCCGTAATTTACAGATTTAAAGTAATGAACATAATAGAACGAAACACAACACTGGTTATATGAATGAAACATAACACTTTGCCAGTAAAATCAGCGGCTGTTCTCCCATCGGTGGCACGGCCAGTTGGTTGACCCCCTGTAAAATCCATACCATAAGACGTGTAGTTGGCTCTGGTGGTTGTTTCGAGATAATTATTATTTCCGGCGACTAGAAAGAGTCGGCCAAAACATATACGGTAAGGAGGTTATTGCAGAAGAAAAGTTGTGTGGTTCACAATGAACAAAGGCACAGCAAAAACATTCAGCAACAACTTCACTTCCGTATAAGTTTCCGGCGACTCTTATATAGACGCCGGAAACAACAATTATCTAGAAACGTCAACCACTAGAACCAACTATGTTTTCTGAGTTCATAGAAGAGAGGAAGAAATGTTTTATTTTTTAAGAGAGAAGAAGAGTAATTGAGGTAGGTTTGTGTCCTCGTCATGGTTTTTAATGGAACTAAATTTGACCAACTTAGTTTTTTTTAATTTTATGCCATAACCATTGGATTACATTTAGCCTGAGTTATGCCAAATAACCGATAAATTTCGATTTTCATCGTGTCTAATTTTTTATTGGTTGTAAATTTTGATTATTTTAACTTTTGGTTCGAGTTATTAGCAGAGAACGATATATGATTCTATGTTAGGGAGTAAACTTCTAACATTTTAGAAAGAGACAAATTTACAAAATTTTTGGGTGAAATATATTTTCAATAAAAACTACATAAAAATCTAAAATATATGATAATTTTAAATTTTCAGAGACGATTGTTCTCATTCACTCCTCCATCCATCCTTGATTATTGATATCATTATCTACTTATGTAAATTTCAAGTGTAATTAATTTAAAGTTAACCTTGTTATAGATTGACCTCTAAATTTTCAATTATAATTAATATTATTTTGTCCAATTTTTATTGGAAAAGTCATGTATTATTCTAAGAATATATTACTTTGCACATAATGTATATTAAATTTGTTTCATATATTTTTTTTATTTTTTTAAAATTACCACACACACATATATATATATATAGGTCACATGATATATGCTTAGAGTGTCATGTGAATTTTTTGTAAAGGAATAATGTGAGTTGGGATAATGTTTATCATGGTTGTAAAGTTCAAGGGACATATTGCACAATAAAATTCTCTAGATATCAATAGGATAATATGGTACAACTTTACAAATAATAGCGGATCTTGACAAAACAATTTAAGGAGCCTATTAAAAGTATTCAAAAAATTCGAAACCTAACTTAAAATTTTCAAAAACTTTGAAGTGTCATATTTAAAATTTTCAACAAATTTGGGATTTAACTAAAATTTCCATAAATCTTAGAATTTCATGAGAACTTTTAAAAATTTTGGTAGGAAATATAATTTGAAATATTAAAACTTTTAAAATTTGAATAGAAGTTTTAAAAATTTTAAGGGGATAAATTATTTTTTTTAAATTTTTAGAAGGTTAAATATTAATTGTCCAAAATTTGGAAGTACTAAAACATTTATAATTTTTTAAATTTAATGAGTATAATTGTACAAATGTGAAGGAAAAATAATTGATCCGATATTTAACCCATACGTACATTCGCTACAACTTCCAATAAAAATGAATTCAATGTTTATATAAATAGATGATATTGACAAATACATTGCTACAACTTTGGATGGGCAAAGGCTGAGAAAGCTGTTCGAGACCATGCTGGTTTTAAGAGATGGAAATCAAACATTTTCTCATTATGAGCAAGCCATAACGTTCAAAAAGTTGTCACCGAAGTCAACCATGGAACTTTCATAACACCTGTACACAACTTATTGAAAATGAAATGAAAAGCTTCATCGAGGCTCGTTAGAGTGGGCCGTATAATTTTCCACCTAAAACAAAAGTTATATGCATGCATATATTGAATCCATAAAAAATGCATGGATTGATCTTCGAGTACTTGCATAAGGCGAGCCATGTGTCTTTGTATTTCCATGCGAAAAGATAAATTGTAGCAAGCTTGTGTGCTAGGAGGAACATTGGTGTGGTGTAAGGGTTGATATTTGTAAAATAAGAGTACAATTAAGCTTCACGGGTCACCATACCTTCTTTGGCTCTATGACTTTAGAACACACCTCTACCCTACATGTGTCCCTAAAAAAATGTAGATATTTGAAAATTATTGTGAAATAATAGCATTGGTAAATTCAGTAATGAGTTTTTAAATATGGAAGGGCTGTCTTTTAAAATTAAACCTAGAAGTATTTAACACTTGGTGAAAGCAAGTAACGTAAAGTTAATTAAAACTTGTAAAATTAAATAATAAAAAACCGAAAGAGCAAATACCATGTATAAATACTTAATCTAGATTAAGGATAACCATCATCTTTTCACTTTTTGATTTGAAGAAGACAAATATGGAAATGAAGGGTTGTTTTTTTTAATTTGTTTCTCTTCATTTTCATATTTGTTTTCTTCAAATACATATAAAGCAATTATTTATACATGATTATAACCACCTAGTTTCATCAGCTTTATATGTATTTGGAGACAGTTTTGTTGATGCCCATATCTCTTGGATTCAAAGCAATTATTCTCCGTATGGGATAGATTTTGGTGGAAATCCCACTGCTCGTTACACCAATGGCAGAACTGCAGCAGATTTCTTTGGTAAAAACCCAATTAATCCACAATTTTATTCTCATGTGAAAATGTTATTACTTTAATCTCAATAGAAATATTACTTAGACTTTACTTATTTAAGAATAATCTTTCACAATTTTACTCTCATGTGAGTAATTAATTTATGCTCCGTTCTTTATTTTACTGTGTAGCTCAATTTGTTGGTCTGCCATTTCCTTCTCCGGTGCTAAGTTTGTCTAAAGAAGATAAGAGAGTTCCTCAAACCGGTTATACCATGCTACCGTTTTACTGGCATCTATAGAATATTTGGAAAACTATCGTAAGATAAAGATATTTTTCTTAACTTATTTTCTTGGATAATGCTAATTTGTTGGGTTTTTTTTTTTGAGGCGATTGCATAATAGAACAATATTTAACAAAAACGTGCAATTCGTTAAATGTGTAAGTAATGAGGATCAAATGTTTAAATATACTAATTTTTTAACTTCCATGCCAGCTTGTTCGTTAAATGTTAACGATGGATGACTTGATTAACAACATTTAAATAGTTAAAGGGTTGAGTTGACAAATTTAAAAGATTGGTGGTCAAAATAGAATTCCCCCATAAATAAGTTGTCATGGGTGTAGTTTACCTAAACCATTCTAAGAAAAATAGAAATAAACTAATAATTCTATCTTGATTACTTTTTATTATTTAATTGAGATAGAGAGAGACAAAACTTTGAATACACTTCATAAATTTCCATCTCTTAAAACCAGTGGTCCCGAACGACATTTTCAGCCTTTGCCCATCCAAAAGTGTATTTTTTACTCTACTTTTTCCAGCTACAAATTTGTCGATGTCATCTATTTATATAAACCTTGAATTCATTTATATTGGAAGTTGTTGCAATGTACGCTTCCATTTATTTTGATACATTAATTTGTCTTGTTTTTAAAAGAAAAATATTGGTTACAATACAATCTATTAATTTATATTATAATTTATACGTACAATCACGCATAATTAATATATTTGAATAACTATAATCATAATTAAATACAAAAAGAGTTTAAATCTCTCGATACATGCTGAAGATGGTGAAAGTTCTCTAATACTAAACTTTTAAATTAACAGTTTTATTGTGACTGATTAACCTGCTGAACAAGAACTATCGATATTGTTGAATTATGAACCTACGGAGGCTCACTATTCATATCATGTACATTGAAAGCGATTTAGTTGAATTATAAACCTATAGAGGCTCACAAATAACACCATGTACATTGAAAGCTGCTGCTGTAGATACTTTAGTATCAATTGCTGAACCAATCCTAAAGTAGAATATGAACCCAATATAGTATAGTATTTGCATATTAGAAAGAAAATAAGCCCAAAATTTCTAAACAGGGGCCTACTCTAAGCTCTTCCATTAAAATTGTATTCCTAGCTTTACTTTCGTATCAGTCTATCACATTATCCTCAGCTACTTAAATTGTGGTGTGAATCATTAACTTGGAGGAAAGACTCCATTATATGGTTCGTTGTACGTTACACCCCAATTTTGGAGCTAAACTTTTATTTATTGTATTTGCAGACTAAAATCGTAACTTTCAAAAATTTAAAAAAAAATATTATGTGACTTTAGGAAAGTTATACGGGACTAAATTGATAAATATTAAAGCTTCAAATCTAAATTGAAAGGGAATTATAAAAATTATGTCAAACTGCTCTTAATTATAAAATATTCAGGAAATTTACTATTAAAATTAAGGTTAAATTTGATATTTTCCAATCTAAATTATGTTAAATTTGATATAAAATATAACTGTCGTAATTGTCCTTAATTACTCAGTTTTAAAATTGACAAGGAAAAAAGTACTTTTTGGGAATCAATTTCAATTTTAAATTTTTTTACTTTAAGCTTCTAGTTTTTTTGTTGTTGAAAATTTTAACTATTTTATCAAGATTTATCACTACTCAAATTTGTAACCTGATGCACGTTAACTCATTTTTCTATTACAAAAAGTTCATATGACACTCTAAAAATATATCATGTGACACATGAAAATACGATTAATTTTAAAAATAATTTTAAAAAAATTCTTTCAAAACCTTCGAGAAAAAATTTGAAACTTTTTTATATTTTTTATAGTTATTTATTATTTTTTAGAAAATAAATTTAATATATATTATGTAGGGTAAACTATAACCATGATCACTTAACAATGATGAGTTTCAAGTTAACCATCAATCTTTTAATTTTATCAATTAGACCACTTAACTATTTAAAGATGTCAAACAAGTCACATGTTGTTAAAATTTGACGAGAACTAATGTGACAATGAATAAAATTTGATAAAATTATAGATTTGATCCTCAATACTTACATATTCTATCAAATTGGTTATAATTTTAATTCAATAAATTTAATCCTTTGATCATATGGTATAACACGTGCCTTCAACTGATTGGACAAAAAATAAGTTACAAAGAAGAGTTTTAGGGGAGGGAATCAAACATGGTTTGTAAAGAGAGTTGAGTGCACGTTTACTATTGAACCAAACTCTACATTTGGGATGTAGATTGCGGAATTTTGTATATAGCTTAAACTGTCGTTAATGTCATAAAAATAAAGAAAGAAAATTGGCTAAGGTGAGATTGGAATCCAAGCTAATTATAAAATTTTGTTAAGAAGAGAGATGAATTGATTGATATCATTTAAATAGTTAAGTGATATGATTGATAAAATTGAAAGATTGGTGGTAAAATTCAAATCTCCCCATAATGAAGTGGTCATAGATGTAGTTTACCCTATTATATATCATGCAACATATTACTAAAATAGTACATGATTTTTTTTTCAACGAAAAAATGTAATTGAAGTTTACATTTATAGGAAATGAAGACAAAAATTTTAACGAAAAGTCAAAGTAATCAGAATTAACAACCAATATGAAATTGCCTTCTAATGTGTTGGAGTCTGGTTTTAACTAAAATAGTACATCGATGGTTTATTTATTTATTTATTTTGGAGTCTGGTTTGGTTGAAGTGTTGGCATCGTTGGAAGTTCTTTTGGAGACGAGATAGTGAGTTAGCAGTTTTCGTCATTGAATCTTTGTATTCAATTCGCGTATAGGAGACGGATCCTTTCTCTAAGCTTATGATTGTAGTGGATTCTATTTTGGTAAATGTTCCAAGTGTTTTGTTGCAAAGTTGAAATGATACAAGCATCGAGTCTTAAGGTGAGGTGATCAAATTCAAAGTATCTGAGTCGAGTGTCTTAAGGTGTCTTGTTGATTTTGGTTGTTGGTTTTGGATTGTAACTATTTGAGTTGTAGTTTTTTTTGTTGGATAAATTGCTTTTATTATCCAAGGAACCAAAGTCAATTACAAACTCAAATTAACCAATCAACCGATTACAACACTAAATATAAACAACCAACATACAAAAGAATGATCGGTTAAACTATACCCTAAACATTACAAAGATTAATATTTACACTATCTAATCGGTTAACATTTCTTCCTCTAAGTTGAATCCATATTATCTCCTTAATAGCTTTAAGGATTTCTTCGGGAGATCTTGAGCATCCTTGAAAAATTCTCTTGTTTCGTTCCTCCCATAAGGTATAGATAAAAGCACACCACAATAGCTTTAAGATGGTGGTAAGAAGGGATTTACCTCTCCATGAATGGCTAGCTTGAGTAATCATATCTTCCCAAGACAAAGAGGACTTAACCAGACCAGTAATAAGCAGAATATGATTCCAAACACAAGAAGCTAAAGAGCAATCAAAAAATAAATATTCTCTAGTTTCGGGAGCTTCATTACAGATAGGGCAATTAATATCATTGGCAATTCCCATTTTTTGCAATCGATACCGAGTAGGAAGTCTATCCAATACTGCTATCCATGCAATCACACTATGTTTAGGGATATGTAAAGGGAACCATACCAGTTTTTGCCAAGGGGACTTGTCACCTTTCTCTCTAATTTTCTCCCAAATTGCTCGAATTTCCTTTGCTCCAGTTAAGAAAATTGCAGCAACTTCTGTTCTGGCTTTGAGCATACGGTTTAAGGTCCAGCTGTGGCTAGAGTTTACATCGATTTGCCAGATGTCTCTATCTTTTAGAACATATTCCTTGATCCATGCAACCCAAATTGAACATTCACCATCAAGAACTTTCCTGATAAGGTTGATAATGCAAGCCCGGTTCCAGGATTTCAGATTTTTCAGACCAATACTGCCCTCTGACTTCGATAGGCATATCTTGGACCAGCTAACTCTTGCACCAGCAGCCGACTTATCGGATCCTTTCCAGAAAAATCTAGAACAAAGCTGTTTAATCTTGGTTATGATAGCTTGTGGCAAAACTACTTACCTATACCAATAATTTGCATTGTTAAAAAGTACATCTTTGATGAGTTCTAACCGGCCAACATAGCTTAAGTGTTTACCAGACCAGAAAAGAAGCTTAGTTTTTATTTTCTGGATCAGCTCTTCATAATCCTTGTCAGAAAGCTTTCTGGAGACTAAGGGGATTCCTAAGTATTTGACATGCAAAGAACTGTGCTTAAACCCAGTGGATTGATGGATAGAATCAATGATAATCCTTGGGATTCCTGCTGAAAAGAAATCACATTTCGTTGCATTGAGCTTAAGTCTAGAAAGATCATAAAAACAATCCAGAACAGTACAGACTCCAAGGACAGATTCCAGGTTTCCTTTGCAGAAAATTAACAAGTCATCTACAAAAGATAAATGAGTATGCTCGACTTTTTTTCATTTTGGGTGATAGCCAAATAACCCTCTAATAGCAGCCAAATTAAGTAATTTAGAAAGCACATTCATGGCAAGGACAAATAGAATGGGAGAGAGATGGTCTCCCTGTCTTATACCCCTGGCTCCCTTAAAAAAACCAATCAGACTTCTATTAAAAGAAATGGAGAATCTGGTATCCCTAAAACAAGCCTCAATCCAACCTATGAACAGCAATGGAAAGTCCAAGGCTTTAAGAACAACAGATATAAAGTCCCACTGGAGAGTGTCAAAAGCTTTTTGGATGTCAATCTTCATTGCGCATCTAGGAGACATATTTTTTCTACCATAACCCTTAACAATTTCCTGGGCTAGAATTGTGTTGTCAATAATGTTCTTAGCTTTTATGAAGGCTGTTTGGTTAAGGGTAACAATTCCTGGAATAAAACTGTTGAGTCTTTTGACAATAATTTTAGTAATGACCTTATAGATGACTGAACAACAAGAAATTGGTCTGAAGTCTTTGATCTTGCAATGATTAGGAACTTTTGGGACCAAGATAATTGTGGTTGCATTGAAAGTAGGGAGAAGATCAGATTGCTCGAAAAAGGATTTAACAGCTGCAATCACATCAGTTCTAACAATAGACCAAACAGTTTTAAAGAAGCATGGAGTGTAGCCATCGGGCCCCAGAGCTTTATCATTAGCTTGACAGAAGACTGCTTCTTTTACTTCCTCATCAGAAATGTCCTTAACCAGTCTTGAAGATGATTCCATAGGCAGAACAGTTTGAATGATGTCTTTCAAGAAGCCAGGGTCACTACCTTTGACATTAGGGTCAGAACTCCCAATTAGATTTGTGAATTATCTGATAATTTCAGCAGATATTGCATCATAATAATCCATTCTATTTCCTTCTTCATCAATAAACACTCGTATTGTGTCCTTCTTAATTTTGGAAGCAACTGCAGAATGGAAGAATTTAGAACACTTGTCTCCTTCTCTGATCCATTGAACTTTTGCCTTTTGTTTAAGGAACATAAGCTCCGCTTCTTGTAAGGTGTTAAGTTCTTTTTGAAGAGTTAGCTCATTTTCGACAGATTGAACTCCATTCAAAGAATTAACCTGTTGTTTTCGAGCTAAATTTGCTTAAGTTTGACCCTAGTAGAGATATCACTGAAGTAGGAATTGTTTAAGTTCTTTAGGACAGACTTTAGCCTCTTCAATTTGAGAAATAAAATTTGCGTATGATTTCCACTAGTAGGGATCTGCTAGGATTGAGCAACATTATCCAAGAAACTAGGGTGGAGGGTCCAGAAGTTAAAGAACTTGAAAGGTTTAGGGTGATTAGTAGGAGCCTCTTTAGAAAGCCACACAATAGACATGCAATGGTCAGAAATACCAGGGGGAAGAAATTCAACAAAAGATTTAAGATAAGTATTAACAAAAGTTGTAGTTTTTATCGAGTTGTGTGATATTATTTTTCTCCATATAAGTTTAAAGAGGTTTTTAACGAGGCATAAAACTTTGATTTTGGGATTTGTAAATCCTTAATAAAATTATATTTACCGAGACAAAATTTTTTATTCTTCTCATTAAAAAATAAAACAACCAATATGAAATTAAACATGACAAAAATGGAAATTTAGTGGCTATTTGGCATGACTCGGAGGTTAAATGTGAGTATTTTTATTTTAATAATAAAATATTCATCATTTTATATATATTCTTTTTTTATGTTTCCATTTAAGGTGCGTTTGGTTCACGGAATGTAAAATTACCGGTGGGAATAAGATTATTGGGAATGTTGCATTGTTGTATTTGGTTCGTTTAACAGGAATGTAAGATTATAGTGTTTGGTTAAAAGAATAAAAGATTATTGGAATGTATATTTTATCAAATTGTCCTTATTATATATTTGTTTTTTTAACAAGTTGAATTCTACTATAATTTTACTATAATTAATTTATATAATTGTTTTACAAAATTGAAAAGATAAATAGGTTTAATGAAAGGGTAAAAAATCCCTAAACTTCATATGAGATTCTAATTATGAACTTTTATTGTAAATCTAAAAATAGTTTAAGGATAATTTGTAATTTAACCTTCATAGAATTTTTTTTATTCAATGAAAGAAAAGGATATTTTTGAAAAGAAAAAAAAATTAAGGGTATTTTAGTCCAAAACACCGAGAATGTGACAATACCTAAAGGAAGGGGGAATCACATTCACAGTAATATACTCCCAAAATACCACTGTTGGGAATAACTTATTACCAGGGGTTGGAAATGTTTACGAACCAAACGGGGGAATCACATTCCATTTCTCCCGGTAATGTGAGATACCCGAACCAAATGGCCCCTTAGGGGAACCAAACCGTATCATATAAATATAACATATTAACAAAGCATGGTATTGGTATAGTATATATCAAAACTAACGGACCAGTAATTCTAACAAAAAGTAAAAGTAATCACAATAAAAAATCAATAAACAATTACATTATGAAGACTAAAATATATGTACAATCATACAAATCATATAATGGATTATTTCCTCCATATTAAAGATTCAAACCACAGTTTAAATAGCTCAAGATAGTGTGAGATTGATATGAAAGTAAACCTAGGGATACAATTTTAATGAATGGACATATATTAGACGAATGCCATATTGGGTTCTTATTCTACTTTAGGATTGCTTCACATAAACTTCCATACAATTCCTCAGCCATTAATGGCCTCGATTAGCTTTTTTCCGGTCTTCGCTCATCGCGTTGGCATTGCGTTGGAATCTTTTCAAATTTTGTCAATCTCATTGAAACTAAATTAATTGTTATATTACGTTTTAATCACTTAATTTTTCTTGAAATTTTTAATTATTTATATTATACGTCATGTAATGTATTTCTAGAATAATACATGAATTTTTCAATCAAAAAATAATATACATCACAAGTAAAAAAATAGATGCCAAACTCTCACAACATTAACTTTAAATTGATTAAACACTTGGAAATAAACTTGTATGTATAGGCAATGGAGCCAATAATTCAAACCAAAGGTCAAAATAATCAGAATAAACAACCAATAAACAGCTATAAATGATCAAAATGGAAATTCAGAGATTAAATGTAAATATTTTTGTTTTAACAATAAAATGTCATTTTATATGTATTTTGTGTTCGATTTAAGAAACTAAATTAGAGTGATGGCGTAAAACTGGAAAACTAAGTTGGCTAAGTTTGGTTCCATTAAAAACCATGACGATGACACAAACCAACCTCCACCCGAAAATGCCGCGTGCGGCAGCCTTAATGTTTCATTACCCATAAAAAAAACTTGTTCATCTCTTCTTCTCTATAAAAAAAAACCATAAAAAACCTGACGATGACACAAACCCACCTCCATCACTCTTCTTCTCTATAAAAAAAAACTTGTTCATCTCTTTCATTACCCAGAAAATATCATCTTCTTCTTCCTCGCAAAACAGAAACTCCAATGGCTTTCCTTTTCCTTCACCGCCTCGTCTTCCTCTCAATATTTCTCCTGTGCTTTGTTCATTGTGAACCCACTCCTTTGCTTCCCCCCTTCAACATATCACAACCCGACCTTCTGAAATACTTTGGGCTGAACAACTTCATCAATCTCCCTACTGTTTATGTTTTCGTCGACTCTTATATAGACGCCGGAAACAACAATTACTTAAAAACAATCGCCAAAGCCAACTACCTTCCTTATGGCATTGATTTTACCAACTGGTTGTACCACCGATGGGAGAACCGCTGCTGATTTTGTTGGTAAAGTCTTCTGTTTCATTCATATAATCAGTGTTGTGTTTCATTCTAATAATGTCCATTACATTAAATCTGTTTGGTGTTCTACTTCAAATTTCTCTTTACCTTTAAATGAAACAGTACAACTGGCTGGGCTGCCATTTCCTCCCCCTATACTAGGGATGTCTGCAGCCGAAAAGGAGAATACTCTCACCGGAGTCAATTACGGCTCTGGTGTTAGATTTGTCTAGAAATTAAGTTGACAAGTTGGAAATTTCATCTTGGTTGGTGGCCAACTTATTGGAAATTTCATCTTGGTTGGTGGCCAAACTTTGAACATGTGAATTTCATATTTGGTGGCTAACTTGTACACATTGGAAAATTCTTTGGTAGGTGGCCAAACTTTGAACATATTGTTCTTGAAACTCAACTATAAATAGGCCCAAGTATTTCCTTTAGAAATCATCCCAAAAACAAGTTCTCTCTTCCTCTTGTATTCTTCATTCTCCCACTTTGGGAATTCCAAAGAATTCCATTTGTTGTAATATTGGCGATATAGTGAAGTTATCATCCGGTGTGGTGCCCGAGGAGTAGACGATATTCTCGTCGAACCTCGTAAATTTGGTGTGTTCTCTCCTTTATTGTTTTTTATTCGGTTCTTTTCCATTGTGTTTCAATATTCAATAGTTTGACAGGTTTATCCGCTGTGCAACCTTTGGTGGTTTTAATCTTGACATTTTAGGTTAATTTTAAAACTACGTTCGTGTGGGAAATAACTCGTTTTCCCCAACAATTGGCATCAGAGCTTCGGTTGAGGTTATCCTGGTGGTTCCGTTGCTGAAAAGATACAGTTCGTGATATTGAATATTGTTCATTAGAATTAAAATGTCAAAATACGGATCAGTTGAGACATCAAGCTCTTCATCTGGACCGGTGAGGAGGGTGATGTCAAATGCAAATTTCTCGGTGGAGTTGTTCGATGGATCCGGTCATTTTGGCATTTGGCAAGGCGAGGTGTTTGACGCTTTATTCCAACAAGGTCTAGACATCGTCATTGATGAAGAAAAGCCCGAATATATGGAGGAGAAAGAATGGGGAACAATCAATCGTTTGGCGTGCAGCATGATTCGATCTTGTCTTTCCAGGGAGCAGAAGTATGGCTACAAGAACGAGATTTCTGCAAGTAAGATGTGGAAAGCTTTGGAGGAAAAATTCCTGAAGAAAAGCTCTCAGAATCGTCTCCACATGAAGAAAAGATTATTCAGATTTTATTATCAACCAGGCACCAGTATGAATGAACACATCACTGCGTTCAATGAGCTAGTGGAAGACTTATTGGGCATGGATGAAACCTTCAAAGATGAAGATTTGGATTTGATGTTGTTGTCATCTCTTCCAGATGAATTTGAGCACCTTGAGACAACGTTACTTCATGGTAAGGATAATGTTACCCTTAAAGATGTAACTGCTGCTTTGTATAATTATGAACTCATGAAGAAAACCAAGAAGGAGAGCAAGTACGAAGCAGCAGAGGCCATGGTGGCAAGAGGTCGCTCGAAAAGTCAAAAGCCAAAGTGGAGAGAGAGATCAAAGTCGAAGTCCAGACTGGGAAAAGATGAATGTGCCTTTTGTCATGAGAAAGGCCATTGGAAGAAAGATTGTCCGAAGCTGAAGAATAAAGGAAAAGCTGCTCCAGATGCATGTGTTGCAGAGCATGATGCACATGACTCTGACATATCATTGGTTGCTTCATCAACAACATTCCATTCTGATGAGTGGATATTAGATTCGGGTTGCACCTATCATATGTCCCCTAATCGGGAGTGGTTCTCCGATTTAGTGGAACTAAATGCGGGAGTTGTTTATATGGGCAATAACAATGCCTGTAAAACTGTTGGGATAGGTTCAATTCGATTGAAGAATCAAGATGGATCAACCAGAGTTCTGACGGATGTCCGATACGTGCCCAGTTTGAAGAA